AAACTGGCGGTAAAATGAAGAGAGACTGGCTGGCGGAAATATGAAAGAGAACTAGTGACAGCAAATGATGAACGGAACTGAGCGATGAGGAAACTAAAACTGGACTGAGGTTAACTGCGGTAAAACGAAACTGATACTGATCCTGAGTCTACACGGAGACTATCCTATACTGAAGCTGACAGCAAGATAACAAATACTGAGACGGGTGATCCTATGCTGAAACTAATGGCAAGATAACAAATACCGTGACTGAAGGTCCTATACTGAAACTGTTGACCGAAATTCCATGACAGACACTGCTGGCAGCAATAACGATCCTAATCTGTGTCCACACGGGGACGTAACTGTACTGAGCTGAACTGGGGTGAAACGATGGCGACGTAGAAAGTGAAGACTGGTAAAACAATGCTGGCTGGTGAAAGTGAAACAATGCTGGCAGAATAAAAGATAAAAGCGAGTTGTGGACACCAAATTCCATGTATTGGCACAATATGAGCATACACCAATACCATTAAAAGAAAAGCCATGCCAGAGAGTATAACTTGAAGTGACTATGCTGTTATTGTCTGTCTCCTAGTGGGTACAAGAGATAGCAGTTGTAGCAACTTAGTTACTTGTCGTTGATAATCTGTGTGTCCCGCAACTAACTATTTTCCATGGTGTATACTAGCTTTCATACTACAAGGCTGGAATAAATTTAGAATACTTGAAGTGAGTCCTTAGTAAGTCTGTAGTACATAGATTGGTAAGAAATGATACAAAATGCATGCTCCCAGAGTTCTAAAGTAACAGCACCCACACAGTTTTACTGTATACTGTGGTTCGAAAGTAACAGCACCCATATGGCTTTTACCACATATAGATGAAGTGATTAGCAAGAATGCCACCGATCCCCGGAATTTTGTGCTGCTGTGTTGCTGTGGCAAAGTACATTGAAGCAAGTGTACTGAAGTAGATGCTTGCAGCAATATCTTGGCGGTATAACAGCCTTAGTAAAGACTGAGGAAAGGTCACGGTATTAGAGCTAATGCCATGGAATTGCTATTTGAGCTGCAGAATTGTGGCTGTGCTAGGCAATCAGATGGGATTCTAAATCCGTGAGATTGACAATCAGATACCTGGCAGATTTAATAAAAGAAGACTGGTGGAATTAGTGAAAGGGGCATGTAATTGATGTGGGGTACAAGTGGGGAAGGATAATTGGCGGCATTAAGCAATATTGCTGGGATTGAAATAGTAGGTTTGTGTGGTGGCTGGGAAATTAAATATCTGGTAAAATCCGCAAATTCTGAGCATACAGAGCCTGGAGGCTCATCACTGTACCATTGAGACTCTTTTACCATATGGCTTATGGCTGTAACTTGTATGGCTGTAACTGTATATGGTATGGTGGGTATCCCTAAGTCTATATACCATTTCTAGTATTCTTGTGTTTAAATTCTTCATAGAACATTTTAAACTTATCACTTAATAAATACTAAATATTCAACAAGTTTGATATAGGATATACTTGCCAGGAAAGCACTAAGATAATACAGTCAAGGATCAATCAATCAGACACTTGGCCTGGGTGCTTCTTTTAGGGTCAAATTAGGCTCAGACTTTATGTAGAAATCATAATAAGATATATACACATAGTTGTAATAAACTTCTGAAGCAGTTGAGAACATACTATGACCATAATTATTTTGGAGACAGTTTATCATGTCACATTATAGATTACCATATTAGTCACAGTTAGAAAACCTCTTTGTATTTTTTCTATCACACATTGCTAATTAAATGATATTCATATCACATGTATTCTACTTTACAAGGCTAAGGTTTAGACACACTCTAGTAATACTAATGATAGCAAGAAAGAAAAAAAAGAGAAAATTGGCTTTGATAATGAGCAATCTGATTAGATCATAGTTACATATAATTGCTATATTTAGATTTGCTAATAGATTGCCAGCATGATGTAATGTGTCTCATTGAGTAGTAACTATACAATAAGACAATTTTGCACTAATGTCCTCTGGCATATAGAGTTTTTGCTCTTATCTCACCTAAATTTCTTGTCATTATATTCTTATCATAGCTTTCCTTCTACTACTAACAGCTAAGGTAAGAAACTGCATTTTTCACCCTTCTGAAGCCCTTCTATATTTGAGTGTCTCATTGACCAGTCCTTGACTGTATATATATTATTCACATTTTTACCTTCTGGAAATATACAAGTTCATTTTTAATTTTTTCAGGCTTTAGCATAAAACTATCCTTATGTATGTCATGAGATAAAATAAATAATAATTAGCATTCACTTAGATCTTTCAGAATTAAAATGTTCTGTTTAACTTCTAAAGATCCTCAGCATAATGTCATTAGGAAGATCTTGATTGCTTTTTTTCTTTCACTAGATTATTATTATCAGGGATTTTATGGCTTCTTTTAAATGTCACTCAAAACTACTTTACTATAGACTCACCAAGCTGAATGTGAATCTGTTTAATCTATAAACACAATATAAGAGCAGCAGAAAACTATTGCTTGATACCTGAAGAAGTACAAAATTTGTACACAATATCAGAGACCATCAATTTGAGGCAAAAAAAACTATCACATCAGAGTTGACTTGACATTATAAAGGACTATCTGGTCATACTATTCCTGTAGTGTGAGATGCCATAGAAAATGTTTGACTGAAACATCTGCCACTTTAAAGATACTCATAATTTTTCAGAGTATATTGTGTGCTGGTTAAATGAATACAAGATATTGATAGACATGAAAAAGATAGTTTATTAGCATAGAGCTACCAAGAAATGAGAAAAAGCAGCAGAAAGCAGTGAGCAAGCACAAATGCTGCTGTCAATATAGCAGCATAGAACAAAAAGAGAATGTGAGAATTCTCTATAAACTGATTGATAATGATGCCAGAATAATGCTAGAAAACCCATACAAACAGCTGTATATAGCTATTTATCATACAGATAGTATAGGTGAAATCTGTACTGTATACTACATTATAAAGTGAGCTTTGAGATCACATATAGGCTAGTTATAATACCTATATTAACCATCCTATAATATTATAATTACAGGTATAGTGCAGATCTCTAAATATATAGACTCAATACATGCACCCTCATAGTCTGGATGTCATTGTTCACATCTTGAAGTTCAAAGTATCCTTATGTACAAGGTCTTTGCTTGAGAGGATTTAGAAAGAGAAAGTTTTAGAAAAAATTTCTTCCCTCTCATTAATATTTCAGTAGTTGAACATACATCTTGGATGTTGTAAAATATGCCTATATCACCAGAAATCTATAGCAAAGTTTGCAAAATTATTAAAACCAAAATTGAAGCAGGAGTCTACAAACTCTCTAATTTCTTATATTGTTCATGATGGTTTACTGTCCTGAGAAAGGATGAGAAAAGCTTATGAATCATACACAGCTTGAAACCTCTTAATAAAGACACAATTACACATTCAGGTCTGCCTCTTACTATGAATCAGCTATTAGAAAACTTCACAGACAGAGCTTGTAGAGTGACTTTAGATTTATTTATAAGATACAATAAGTGCATACTTTCTGAGTTGTCTTAAAATCTCAATACTTTTCAAACTCCTTATAGTGCCTTGAGACTTGTAACATATGAGATGAACTAACTCAGTTCTAATATTCTATGATAATGTTACTTTTATTCTACAACTTTAAATTCCTAAATATATTATCCTACATTGATAATGTTCCTGTCAGAGGACCAGCCACCTGTTATAAGACCTTTAACAGTTATAAAACTATACCTGAAAATTTAAGTATTCAAAGATTCATCTGAGAATACTATGTGAACTTAAATAAAGTTGTTCAATGTATGAAATATTGTGGAGGGATCTTTTCTGAAAAGAAAGTGTACTTATATTGTTCAGAAATTATAATCATTAAGCATCATTATACCTATCAAGGTCAACTACCTCTCAAGCATTATAGATTAATACTTCACTAGAGACCTTACAAAGACCTCTTAAACATACAAGTTTTTATAAGAATAGAGAGTGCACATATTCTCAAGCCAAAAGAGAAATATACAGTCTCTATTAAATATTAAAAGATTGTAAACTTTATCTAATAGACTTACCTACTTTCATGGTAAAAGTGGGTATAAATGCAATTAAGAAAATGCTTAAAAATACAGACATTATATTATCTGCAGCCATAAACTGCTGGATTATCAAAATTCTCTTCTTGCATTTTATTTTTATTCACATCTCTGGAATTAGACATAATTCAAATAAATTATCAAGATAATCACTCTAAAAAGGAGATTCACCACCATCAGAAGATGGATTAGATAATTTCTTACACACACATTACAGATTTATAAATATGATTCACTTTTACAAACTGCCTGTCTTATTGCTTATGTTTTATGAAGTTAAAAGTTTGCAAGAAGAAAACTTTTTTCCTATGATGATATTCCTTAAAGCAGGCAACAAAATTTGCTAAAATAAGTGATTAGGTTATATATTACCTTAGAACTTAGAGTTCAGACAGCTGCCAAGATATAATGATAAAAAATATACAAACTTCACGAAATATACATTAAACTTCTTTGAGAAAAATGAAAAGCACTGGTAAATATTCACAAGGGAAACATCTAGTACTGTCTCAGCCACAGTAAATTGAAGTGATAATAGCCTGCTATGATGAAGCAGCTGATAAGGGTTTGTACATTACTCATGAGTGAATAAAACATGATTACTAATGACCAGATATGAAATTCAACATTGCTTGATACATGCAAACTTGTCACATCTATCAAGTTTTCCAGAGTAGACAAATCAATGTCTTGAGATGATCTTCTTATTAAACATGCTTTCTTCTTAATAATACCTATATATTCAGCTCTTTGGCCTCTTTTCATTGACCTTGTTTTCTATATGTTGAGGCTAAATTACTCATAGATGTCTATTGGAAAATGCGAGATAATTCTGGCAATCTGGCATTCCGGCATGCTGAGTAAGAAATTGGTAAGAGAATGATTGTATAGAAATTACTAGAATAGGTGTAGTTTAGTATAAATATGTGAAGTAAATGGGTAAACTCCTCACGAGTTTGTAACCCAGAGACTAGAGGTCTCAATAGCATTGTACTAGGATATAGTTCAAAATACAACAATGTCAATGTGTCTGGATGATCTTCTCCTAAAGCATGCTTTCTTTCTGATAACGCTTTTAATTGCAGCTCTTCTGCCTCTTTCCATCAACCTTGATTCCAGTATGTTAAGGCTAAATTACTCATAAATCTCAATGTGTCTGGATGATCTTCTCCTAAAGCATGCTTTGTTGCTGATAATACTTTTAATTCTAACCTCTCTACATCTTTCCATTTACCATTATGAAAAAATGCTTTTACAAACTGTTTAATTATATAAATATCTTTATTCAGTATGTTATCTTTTAAATGTAAACTCAGAGTTTGAAGAAAAATATAATCCTCTTTATTCCATTTATTTGGTACTGATTTTGCTATTATAATTATTGCAGTATTAAAAGCACTTTGTTTTTCTACCTCTTGTAATCTATCAAGACACCATTTGTGTACTAATGAATGTATAAAATATATAGGAATTCTGTTTTTTTCTGTTTTTTTAATAAGTGAGCAAGCTAATAAAATTGATATGCCTTTTCGAAATAGTTTAAAATTCCACTTATTACTTTCAGTTGTCTCTAACAATTTATTATAGCTGTCTTCTATAATACAATTATTATCAGAATTATTTGTTGTAGCTGCACGATTAAATATTTCTTCAGATATATTTTTATTGTAGAAAAATGCAAATAGTTCTAATATTTTCAATGCATATTGTGCATCAATTGCTGATGAGTCATTTTTTTGTGCTTGAGATTGTATTGCTTTTAATGATAGATTCCATGCTCCATATATATTTTGCTTTTTTTCAAAGAGACCTATTTCTGTTAATCTCTCTTTACGATTTTTATCAAACAACTCAAGATAATCATAAATTGTATAATAGCCATATTGAATAGATGATCCAGCAAGATCAATTGCTAATGGTATATAACCAAGCTCAAATACTATAGCTTTAGCATATCTATTAATTTCATTATTTATTTCTTTAAGATCACTAGCATTAAAAAGCAAGTTTATAGCTTCTTCAGATTCCATTTCAGATACAGCTATTCCAGCATTTCCAGTAATGCAAATCAGATTAGGATTACGACTTGTAATCAAAATATTTTCTTTTTGTCCAGAAGGTAAATACTTTTGTAATAGACCAATGTTATAATAGTCTGCATTATCATATATCAAAAGCCATTCTTATTCATGAATTTCTGAAATCCAATCAAGTGTTAAACTTTCATTGTATGTCTGGGAGTTTAATGTTTTTTGTGGTATATATTTAATATAAATATTCTTGAGACTTTGAACAATTGTGCTTTCTGATGATGCATCAATCCAAAATATAATAGAAAAACTAATAAAGTTCAAATATTTATATAAATTTATTGAAAAAGCATTTTAAACTGACTTACTCTTTTGACTCAATCATATTTTCCACAAACTTTAAAGCAATCTGACTTTTATCAATTCCTCCCATTCCATGAAGTAGAAAAAGACGTCTTTTCCATGGTTTTTCACGAGGAGCAAAATATTTTTCAAGCTCAGACAGATATTGCTGACATCCTGTAAACAAAGGTAGCACAGAACCTGGCAAAAATGTCATGGAAGGCTTTGAAACTGAAGTTATATGTCCAGCTATAATCATATTAGCTTTTAACCTATAAATCCTAAACAAATAAATCCTACCAAATGTCCCTAATGTATGGGTTCTCTTCATATTAGGGCTGGAACAGAGACATTCTACAACTCCTTCAACTATTTTAGATGTATTGGGTTCTCTCAGATAGGCACTTGTATGAGCTAGTATAACAGCTCCTCCTTCCTGCCAATCATCTACTTCCAATACTCCAGTTCCATGTGTAACATTCAACCTAAAATATGTTCCTGGACTATTATCATACTGTTTTGTGAAGTCAGAAGAGACAGACTCGCAATCAGTAGCAATCTTTGTGACAGTCTGTAATAGCAGAAGAGGTAAGAACTTCCTCATGCCTCTTGGTTGCTGAAATCCATTAGGTCCTGGATGACCTGTTCCAACACTGAGAAATACTCCAATAGAACAATCACTGCCAAATAGTTACATTGCCTCCTCTCTGACTTCTTTTGAAGGATTGTTATGACCAAAACCAGCATCAGTATATAAAGAACTGATCTCTCCTAGACCAGCAATCATGATAGATTTAAAAATCTTTTGAGTAGCAGTTGTAGCTCGGACAGCCTCCCAGACCTTGCAATCTGGTCCTTGATTGGAGAGTCCTGCATATGTCCGAAATCGCTGTGGAGATTCCAGATTGGCAGTAGTTTTAGCACAGACAAACTTAATGTAGAGATGAGTATAGAGTAGAGGAATACAGCCATAATCAACATACACATTGCCAATTGAGTCCTTTTCTGCATTTGGATCAAGCAAACTCTCATCACCAGTATACCCCCCATGGCTATGCTTGACAATCTCCTTAATCTCTGCTTTCAAGGTACTAGCCTTAAACTTTTCATCCTTGTAGAATGGTTTATGGTTGTCAGGGCTGAATACAGCAGCTGCAAGGTTGTTATAGCTTTGCAGTGCATCTTCAGTTGACATTTTCAGTCGACCCAGCATGATTGCATTGAGACTACAAGACTAATATTAGCCTCTATGGAGCCTACAGTAGAGCACACAACTCACCCTCCAGTACCAGAACCTCCAATAAGATGGAAATACTCATAAGGTTTTGGTACCTCAGGCAATTGCTTCTTGGCTTGGATGCGCTTCATGATTTCATCAAGAATGATGAGCTGAGACACCCCACGTATCCCGCCGCCATCTATCTCATGTATTAGTAAACACCATGCAAAGAACATGGAGAACGCACCAAGCGACAGCAAGTTCATGGGGCTGTTGTTAGAAGTGTTTAAATTGGCCATCGATGAACAAGATTCTAGACATTTCGGGTCAGTGGACATGGTATACACTCACTGAAGGCCATCGTACCTTTCGATAGAAGATAGATAGCTGGATGCTTTCAGATGAGAATGCAGATGAGTGGTAAGAGGACAAGTTGTCATGGGAAAGGCATGGCGATTTGTGCATTGCTGTAGAAGGATCACGGAGGAATCGATGCACCAGTAAGTTCATCTTGATGGTGGCTTGATCTGTGATGGCCTGAATTGGCGCCACGAACGATGTATGAGAGAAAAAGAAATAGTATTCCAAGTACGGAAGACATAAAAAAGATATAAGGATTAAGCCAGTACAGTCCCCGATGCCAGTCTGAAATTCTCTGCATCGCTCAACAATAGATGGAAAGAATGACCACGAAATAGTGGAACTTTTACCAGCCTTGTGATGGTTCAAGAGTGATGAGACTGAATTGACCGCATCGAGTTGTGCAACAGCCCTGCATGATGGGCACCTCACGGGGACGGCAGCAGGTCATACCTGCTTGAGATTAACAATGGAAACATGAATGCAAAGACGCCAATGAACGAGTAGGCCAAGAAGACACACCATGCGTATAGGCATGTGCCAGACCAAGTAGCTTTCAGATATGTTCATCAGCGGCTTGATATATCTGAGGCTGGGTTCTAGTTTGCCTTTCTGAAACACATTCATCACATCAAAGGAGAAATGTGCCCAGCCTACGATGCATGTAAGTCATGTTGGAGAAAGGAGAATGGCATGCACACACAGACGCAACTCTATATCGTCTATCAATCTACTTCTTCCCTCCAGAAATGGTGCACCGAAAACACATACACTGCCAGACAGTGACAAGAAACATGCATAGCACTCCCAGAGACGGTGGGGGGCCAGGTCCGAGAGCACGACATCCACCAAGCCTCACCCTTCCTCCGTTGTCTGAGGTCCATTATTGCTACATCCATTCTGCGATCGAAACAGTCCTACTGAAGAAACCAAGCATCAGGAATGAGATTCATTAAGGTCGACGATGATGATGGCCCGAGTCCCGCAACCCTGACTTTCACAACGAGTAAGCACCTCTTCTATTTCGTTGATATTGTAAGGAACGTAGTCGCTGCTGGGGCGAGAGCTCTGCCTATCCTCGTCTGGGCGGTACCCCGAAACGCATGATGCAACTGGTTCCTTGGGTGTTGTAGCGACATCAACAACGACATTGACATCCTCCCAGCAGAGAAAATCTAGCTGGCTATCGAGTTTGAGAAGTTTGAACGACAGAGGTGCATTGTGGTCATGGTGCCGTTGTGCCATCAGTTGCGGAGACCAAGAGCGAGGCGAAGGAAGGACAAAATGATATAGACGGCCAGGAAGAGGGCCTTTTGTTTGGTGTAGTAAACAGCCCCTGCTCTCTCTCTTACCAAGATGTCGCTTTGCTCGGGATATCAACAAGTTGGCTAATTTGCCGTTTGGACCAGACGGCGACGACGAAAGAAACTTCTATGTTGGGCTCGAACTGAGACACGTCATGCCAACCCTCATCCCGAGTTGTGAGAGTTATCGATTGACTGTTCACAGGGCTGCTGTCTACTTGGATTGAGAGTTTGGACACCCCAACGCCATTTCTGCAGCTGGCTAGCACAGTGCTATGAAGCTTGACTTGGGTAGATCTTCTCAGGTGCATTGACTCATCCTCTTGAAGCTACAGTATCTTAGCATACCAACAGAACGTCTACTGATCACAGTAAGAGCATAGTAGCCTACATGATGAGCATACATATTGACAATGAGTTTGTTTTAAAGAGGTGCGACTCGAAGAGCAGGACAAAGTCCAAGATGCACAACCTTTGCGCTGAAATCTACACGTGCCGAATCACTGACAAACCTAATCCTACACCATGTCGGTGTCATCGAGACGACTATTGATTTCTGGTGAGGCAGTGCCCATCGAAGGTAAGTCCAATATGTGTTCTATCACGGACTCTCAACTTGAACCAGCTTGAAGGTCTGTCTACAAGTCACTGGGTCCTTTTCCCAGAAGGCCTTCATTATTAACTCTGAATAGAACAAATTGCCTCTGTTCAAGACCACCGATGCCTTGAAACAAACCCCATATGCATTAAGGCCGCCAAGCTGAGGCTGCCTGGATCGTCGAAGGAGGGATATCACCAGGCCTTTGAAGCGCAAATCTTGACGAAAAGGCTGGGGAGACAGTTCACGGGAGGAGTTCTGGAGCAGTATGTGGCTACTACATTCAATATTTCTCACACCTGATGCTTTATTTTAGTCGACGTTATCTGCGCTAGCTATATATCCAAGTTCCAGACATAGAGGTCGTAGTTCCCTTCATGTCAAGAAAAAGTCGCGAAAACCTTTTCCTTGCGTGATATTATTCTGCCTTGCCCATATCCCATACCCTGACATTATACCGGAACAACCCTTCAGAGTCCAGGCTCCCTTCTAACACGAGATGTGGATGTATGCTGAGCAAGCACATGTCTATGAATCCTTGTTGTTAGCAAGTCATACTTTCGACCTAGATATCCGTCAAGCCGCGCGAGGGAAGACCACCGGCAGGAGCAAAAGGTAGTATGCTCTTCTGGCATCACCTCTCATTTCCCTGCTACAACCCCATCCTGTGTCAATGATGTTCACATCCTGATTTGACATGTCGTCCTTCCGAGCCCATCTCATCCACCCTCAACTCCATTACTCAGCAGTCCATCGCTGCTGTTTGTCCTAGAAAAGGCCTTCATTGTCGACACAGAAGAATCAGATGCCTCATCATGTCCCAACGTCGTCGTTACGATTCTATGGGGGTGAACCAGAGCTAACGATCACCGCATGAGTTGAGATATGATTGCTACCTTTTGGATGAAGCCTGGATGCCACGTCACTCGTCGTCGCTCGAGGTCCTACTTTGAATATCGAGTTCTTCAATTAAAACAGGATTCTCTCTAAGTGTTACAGCATCTCTCCCAGTTGCACCTTTTCATGACGTACACAAGGCTTTTGTCGTTCCTCTTTCCACAGCTTCAGAACACGAAGCTCAGTGCGGCCAGAATCGTCTTTGCGCTCATCACAGTGACCTCCCTTGGGCCTTCCTCTGATGCAAGGGGCAGAACCTAGATGTCGTTGACATAGTGCTAGGCCGTCCTCATGAGCGCAGAAGCTGGATACAGGTGGACAGACATACCTTGACTCGAGGCACGCGTAGCAAGGATACCGCATCGAAAACGACTCAAGGCCCATTGAACTGGTGAACGTGCCCTCATCATCAGCCAGGAAATGTATAGCTGCGAACCACAATTAGTTGACACCCCATCTATAGTCGAACAAATACACATGGGTGCCATTCGGAACAAGCTTCTCCTTCCAAGCCTTATGCATCAAAAAGGATCAATTCTGGTGCATATATGGAGGGGGAAAGATCCACGAACTGTTCACTGACCGCCATGACATATATATCCCTTCCATCGCTTTAGCTCATACTCCTTGATATACCCCGGGACCTGGGTTCCAGTGAACATTCCTGGTACATCTCTTAGAGTCAAGTATGACAACAAGGAAATCCTACACTCACGATGATGTTCTTCCCTTCCCAGTTAAAGACACGGTCTTGGTGCATTCTCCTTGACGGAGGGGGTTTGCACTGAGGTGGGAGGCTGAGGGCTCAACGACATGGCGGCGGTAGTATCAAAAGCGGGATGTGGAAAAGGCAGAGAACTACATTCGTGTCTCTATGTAAATTTCCTGATGTCCGAGTCAGTCAAGTATTTACATAAGGAAATGGTACTAAAGCATACTGATACCAAGTCGAGTAAATCCCTGCATTGTGAGGACGTAGATAGAACATCCTAGCTAATATTCCCTTCTTCTTTGTTGTATTCACTGTCTGGTCTGAATTTGTTGATTTGGACATCGCAGTAAGAGGGAAAGAGCATGCGTTGTTTACGGTGCCAAACAAGTCGTCCTCCTTCCCAGCCACCACCTCCTCGGATTCCCACTATCAGGTGCATGCTACTCCCTGCATTTATAGAAAAATACCCAACCAATGTCCGATGCGACAAGAATTGCCTCTGACTCCAAGTCTAAATGGATGAGCGGCTATCACTACTTCCTCCCAAAGCACTTGACAAGGCCTTGACTCTGCGCAAAATACACTCGTATCCTTGCTCCGGTACAGCGTTATTAATCCATAGCATTGGAAGACACTGTCCTGGTCTGGGGGCTGTGCCAGGTACTGGGAGGAGACTCGTCGTCAGAGCACACGAATGCGAACGATCCGGAAGTAGATTCACGTGAAGCAGCTTCACCATCAACCCCATGTTCATGCTGTATACAATGCAAGTTCTTCTGTTCTTCCAGTACCACTGCAGTTATCGATGGCTATCAACACGAGGCCCTCTACACCAGATCTTCCTGTGAACTTGCTATCTCTCAGTGAGCACTCCATCTTGTCATAAGTCACTCAACTGACTCTCGTGGTAGATGGTGGTGGTATCCGCGGCGTATCCGAACTCTTCATCCTCGACGAGATTATGAGGTGCATCCAGATCCACCAAAACCTCCCTCAAACTCCCAAGCCTTGCGAATACTTTGATCTCATCGGCGGAACCAGCACCAGAGGGTAAGCACAGATAATCAAGTCACGGTAATGATAATTAATTGGCACCATTCTCTAGACTAATCGCAATCATGCTAGGAAGGCTAAAAATGTCCACTGAAGACGCCCTCCAAAGTTACAACAGAATCTCCAGCGCGGTGTTCAGCACCGAGAACAGGAAACCTTTCTACAGCGACGGAAAGTTCAAAGCAACTACATTGGAGAAGGAGGTCAAGAATGTCGTCTGCTGGGCTGGGTACAGCGATGATCAGAAGCTGTTGGATCCCAACACGGGGAGAAATTTGAAAGGAAACATGTATGCCCAACTGTTTCCTCTCACAAAATGTCGCCCTCATTAGCTTCAACAGTTTCATATGCTCCATGACCGGAATCAACCTTCGGTCTCCCCAGCGTTTCCGCACATACCAAGGACTCCCCAACCAAGGTCCTGACTGCAGAATACGGGAAGCCGTGCGTGCCACCACAGCAGCACCAACCTTCTTCAAAGCCATCAAAATTGTCGGACCAGGAGGGTTCAGGCCCGATTACGTTGACGCAGGCCTGGGGTTTAATAATCCCACCAAAGAGGTCCGCGACAAGCCAAGGAGCTATTCGGCAGTAACCAATGTATCGGTGTGTTCCTCAGCATTGGGACAGGCCACGTACTTGAGAGGGCCGGAGGCTTCGATGCAGATTGATAGGGTCGTAGCCTGCCTCTGTCGCGTTGGAGTCGGACAAGGGAAGACGTTGGTTTCTTTGTAGTCATTTGAAGCATACAGGAATGTAGAAATTGAATCCGAAAACTCAAGATCGGATTGTGGTAGACATTGACCGACCTACCGGTAGTTAGTCGACCATATGCCACTGGAAATGAGGTATTTGATCTTTGAGCACTGCTCCAGCTAGCTGCAGAAATGGCGTCGGGGTATCCAGGCCCTAGAACATACTAGTAAATGACAGTTCTACGACAGATGAAGTACTGACCATCTGGTAGTAACGAGAGACAGCTCAACATGTCCAAGTAGGGTAGCATATTCTTCTTCGTATTTGCTGTCTGACCCTGGTGGTAACTTGAGCGCAGAGACATCGCAGTAACAGGGAGAGGCGCGTTGTTTACTAAGCCAAACAAAAGGTTTCTTCCTGGCCACTATAACCAAGTACGCATACTCATGTTTGATAAACGTTGGCGAACCGATGTCTTCCATGACCATACTCAAGCAACCATGGTACGTGTACTACTCCCTGCATTTGTATCACTCATAGACTTCGCACTAGGAAATTTACCTAGGCTGACCTCATCAACTCCAACCAACAACGATGCGATCAGATTTATCTCTGCTAACACCAACGGACGAGCAGTTATCAATTATCAACAACATTCATCTGCAAGACCATTTTCGCATACCACATGGCGCTTGACAAGGCCTTGAAAGAGCTTGTCAAAACCCAAGAACATCCTCGCTCTGATACGGCACCTCCCCACCAAAATATCTTCCTCTATAGTATAGGAGGGAACGTTTCCCTGTTCTGGCTTAAACGAGGGCCTAGGAGTGGTTTGCCGCAAGTGGAGACAAATCGTCTTTTCTACCCCAGAGCTATGGTCCAACTTCACACTCTTTCGTTGCCTCCCATCTCCCTGCTTGACACCGCTCCCCGACCAGTGCAGCATCTCTGTTCATGCCTCAAGGACGCATCAGTGGATATCTTTATTTGCATTCTTGTCGTTGGAAGGGCATCCGTCTCAGAATGTTGCACTCTTTCGTGCCCCTCAAAAGACAGCCTCTCCGCCCTCGAAACACCATGCACGATCACGCTTCTCTGCGTCTCACACTGATCAACGTCGGGTCTGTGATCTTCCATATCACCTTCATCCTCCTCAGCCATGGTACCCCTCCCTCTCCCCCGCCTCTCTCCACGAGCTGGGCAGTTCCCTTTGAATGCATATCCCACTCTTCCCTCTGCAAGCTGCTTAGCACCGTATCCTACCCGACCTCGATCTCGTTCATGTTACCAATGAACACGGATGCTTCTTGCCAGTCAAAGAACATGTTACAAAAGTTCAAGATTACATTGTTGCACGCGTGTCAAGAATAATGCCCAAATGACAGAACTCACCATTGAAGCACTAGAGATGGAGGAAGGGTTCATGAAGGATTTCTTTCAAGCCGGGGACTCTGTAGAAGGTGTTGTTCACTATCGGCAACTTTGCTTCCTTCTCCAGAAGCAAACACCGCATCGGTCGATGCGATGGAGAGACGGCGGGGATCTGCAATGCGACCCTGCTATATCTCTGCGACGTGATGAGGATGAAGAAGATGCAAGAAAGGGATCTGGACCTCAGGATATGCTATGGTAAGTTTTTCATGCCTACAATTTTCTGTGGACTGATCCGAGAGGCGTTCAGCAAATCAAAGGGTACGATAAAGCAACAGAACCGACTACAGATTTGTTCAATCCACGCTGAACAAGCTCGTATTAGACTGCGAGGTTTTTTGTTCTGGCTTCATAGCTGGGGAACGTCTTTGATGCAGCAGGAGCACGGATTCATATAACACTTACGGTGGTACTCTTCATGAGTAGTTCATAGTGATGTCCAATAATATCAGGAATCCAAAGTGTCCAGATCAACGTCTCGATTGGGGTAACAATACTGCCTTGGGACCAACTCCCACAGCATAGTGATACGTCTATTGTGAAATGGAAAGACCGCGATTCTACGACCTCCCAAGGTAGCTCAAGACCAGGCATAAGGCGGAGGATTTTGCGCTGAGACGATGTATCATCTTCCGGCGAGATGGATTGGTGAGGATGACGTGTCGAGGGTTGCCATAGAGGAAGGGAGCGTTGAGAAGAGAGGTACATGATCAGTGAGCCCCTGATCACACCTATCCACAGTGCTCCACACCCGCATGTCGAGTTTCCTTGTTTCGTTTTCCCTCTCTAACGCTGACTGCAGAACGAGAATTGGAGTCCATTCCTGTGCCGTCCTGTCCCAGTCATCATCCTGCATATGGCAACATTTGTGCCGAGATGATGTATCATCTTCTGGCAAGACAGATCAGCGAGGAGAATGGCGTGTCGAGGAGGGTTGTGCAGAGAGGAAGGGAGGGTTGGGAAGGGAGGTGCACGATCGGTTAGCCCCTGATCACACCGATCCAGTGTTGTCCTCCACCTGTACGTTGTGTCTTCCCTTACTTTGCCTGCCCTATCTGACTCTGACCACAGAATATAAATCACAACACCTTCCTACTGCATGCCCTTCGTCTCGGCACATCCCCAACCACTCAAAATCACTGTATAGGGTGGCATTTGCACCGAGACGACGTATCGTCTTGTGGTGAGAGAGCGTGGCATGTAGCAGATGTTTGTGTGGAGGGTCGTAGGGAGGGAGGGAGGTGTGATAGGATCACACCGATCCACAGTGTTTTGCCCCCACCCATATGTTGTGACTTCAGTTGATTCGTTTTCCTTCTCTAACGATAATTCCAGGATGTGCATCAGAATACCTCCCTTCTCCTCGCAACTTATCCCAATGCATCCCTGACCACCCAGACTTGCTGCGCCCACGTTTGTGCTGAGATGACATATCATCTCCCTGCGACAGGGCATAGCGCGTAGGAAGGTGTGCGTGTGGAGGAAGGGTGGTGTTGGCAGGGGAGGAGTGTGCTCGAGTAGCTCCCTGAGTGCGACCATCTACAGTGCACCATCCCCATACTGAACATCTTCCTAGGCCATGTCTTCTTCACGTCGACCTGTTTTCGCACCAACACGACCATGATGTATCAAAATATGATGAGCATCAGCAGCGTGTAAGGGTTGTCTATGGAAGGAAGGAGGTGTCTGCATGCATGACAGGAGGGGGAGGATGATCGGTGTGCTCTGTGGCATCCAATCACACTCAGAAGCTGCATCTGATGCGCCGGTCGTGCAGTTGCATGCCTAGTATGTTTCGTTTTGCGTATCCCTTCGATATTCACTGACTCTTTCTTTTCAGTTCATCCTCGTCACAGCCGACTCGAGGCGGCCACCAGGAGTGAACCACCCTATGCCTTTGCTCACCCCCGTTTAACCCATTGTGCCTGATTAAATAGCCGCCAATTGAGGAGGACTTGGGGTTAGGTAATGGTGTGGGGTGTTTGACTCGATTTTGCGTTTGTGGGAGTTTTCGAGGTGAGCTAGCTTTGTTTGTGATTGAGGCCAGATGCTGACTTGCCTCTGTTCCAGCTCGTCATCTTCTCCTTCAAGGTAGATCCCTCGGGTTAGGGTTACTGAGAGCAGGTCGTCCTTCAGGACTCTTTTTTTTTTGGAGCAAATCGGACCCACAATGGCAAGCCTTGGTTTCCCGAATGGGAGACTGCACTTGGCCGGCGCACGAATGGGAGGATGCCCCCTCCCGTTCGTGTATTTTTTGAATATCTTCAGGTGGGGAAATTATGATTCTACGAAATTTGGCCGAGTTGGACTAAACAGTTTTAGGACCTGACCGTGGTAATTTTTTTTCTCTTCACCAACCTCACTTTCGATTCTGTGCCCGATCTAGTTACTTTATGTATCCTACCAGTATCAATATACAATCCATCTCTTTTCTTATCGCCCCAGTCCTCATCAAGAAATCATCCTTTTTCTCATCGTCCTCCCTATCATGCAGGGCCAGATGCAGAAGTAGTCTGCTTCGATCAGCACCAGCAGTGACGAAGTCTGCTACATTGAATTCATCGACTAAGCAAATCAAACACACGTTAACGGAACGCTCCAGCCACCCAATCATTCACAAAGTAGAATCCATAAACTTTGCATGGCTCGGGTTTAGCTAGAAGATGCCCCACAGATTCTTCCTAGGTCTGAGGCTAGATACCAATTGCGCACCACAGCAGGTAAGAATCTTGGTATCAGCTTCCGCCTCTTGACAATTAAATGCCTGAATTTCCAAATTATGAATAAGGTTCATGAACGTTCAAGAGTCACAAGCTCTAACTCACAGTAAAGATTTAGGGTACCTTCCGCTTGACAAGAAATTTGATCATGTCAGGCCACGTTCCGGCATTTTCCTTGGAGAGACCAGAGTTGAAAGCGACCGCAAGGTCAGAGTTTTCCAAAGCAGACTGAACACCAAGCTCATGGTACAATCTGGAAAGTTGAAGTCAGAATTACCCAGGCGAGATGCAGCCAAACGTACTTGTGATGATGCTCATGGATATGGGCGTGGGACTTGCTTCTGCAGTCTCTGCGGGAGAGTCAGACAACAGCGATGAGGTATGGTGAAGACACTGCACGAGCATGTGTCCATTACCATCACTTCGGACGACCACAGCTTCATCAGGTTCAGCAGTTGTGGACCGCAAAGGATGAGCTTGTAGCAATATCAACACGAGTCTGGTTGGCGACAAATGTAAGCTGACCTTGAGAGTCTTTACCTGAGGAAGTCCGTGAAGGATCTCCTCGAAGGCTTGACCAGTGAGGCCTGAGGACTTCTGCCACATGCACAGATGATCTTCAGGATTTTATAGAAGTCAAGATCAAACATTTGAAATTTCTTCGAAGGGTACTCACATGGATTGTCAACATCTCCTTCGTGGACCACACGTCACCCTCCATCCCGCCAACTTTCCTCAGGCAGTAAACTTCCCTTCATCGTCGAGGTCCTCCCTCCTTTCTGCAGGTCGGTCCCTCCATCTGCCCGAGCATGCACCCCTTCCTTCCTCTCTGCACACGTCATACCCCTCTCCACATGGCATCCCTCCCTTCCCCTCCGCATACGCTGCTGTCTCCTCCGTGCATTCCATCCCTTCCTATCTGCGCACTCCACTCCCGTCCTCTCTGCACATTCCATCCCACGCACACCTCCCTCCGTGTGTGCTTCTTCTATTCTCCTCCTTCCTGCAAGCAGCTGCACTAACGAGTCCCGAGAGCAAAACTGTAGGGTAAATGATCAGTCGACTTTGACTTGAAGTCATTCAATGGAACGCTTACCTCGACTCCATAGCCGCATTATTCCATGTGTGCTTGAGGGGCCGAACGCACGCTGCGTTGTGTTGGCTGAGGGAGAAAGGATTAGTTTGCAGTCAAGTTTCGTCCAATGGAAGGCGTACATCAATCTCTTGCGTTACACGTCAGTATCCCATTAACCTATTAGTAGAAAATCAACTCACCTGCTTACACACATACAGCTCACCCCAATCAAGTCTCGAAAGCTGGGCTGCACATTTACAGTCTCCCTCAAGCATCATCCAGTGCATGGATGAAAGTCTACGAAATCAGTTAGTAGCCGTTCTAGTCAAGAAAAAGGATTCTGCTTACACTCTCAATCAAATCCCACTGTTCTTCCCTCACACTAGCCGGTGATGTCGAGCCTGCTTTCCGTCACATCTACAGCCAGTGCTAGATCCTACACATGACGAATGGCACACAAATTAGTGCAAATAAGTACAGTGAAATCGAGCTTACATACCTGTTTATGAATAGCTTACAGATTCGCCATCTGAAGGCTTGACTTCAAAGTTAAGGGTTCTTCAAGTCTCGATAGACGGCGAGTCCTATTGCTAGCATCAACGCATCAGCTAGCATCGTCCCAACAACGAAGGTTTCCCTTACCTCGTATGCAGCCTAATTCACCTTTGAACCAGAAACACCCATCAATAAGCTAGCAAAGAGACACGTTAGATAGAGTCAAACGAACCAAGAAAAAAGGTAGCTTACCGGCCTGTAAGCATCGCATATGAATGGGGCCTTGTTGATCAACCTCCTGAATGCCACGTCAACATCTCATCGTGGTGCTGTGGTAAACCAAGCGTAGAACTGGGTTAACATGCCATGAAGCAAGCATGAGTATCCGTTAGTGCAGAAATATGTTCCCAAGCCACAGCCCGTCTTCGCTGAGTAGTCCTGCATGCACACCGCCTGCCAAACACCCAATTGGTGGGCATAACGGAAGACGTCGGTACTGGGGTATCTAAGTGACGCATGGGCTTGTGAAGTAGAAGAGGAATGACCTGAATATACCTAACTTTCTGGCTCAGTTTACGTGTTGTCTCCGTTTGAGCCTGGGAGTCGTCGCCATGATCATCGTTAACTAGGGAGAAAGAAGCATTAACCTATAAACCGATGCTGTAACCATTGGCGATGTACCTAGTATGTGGGTGCAGCATCGAAGCTATGTAACTAGTCAGAGATCAGGATGCTTGCTTGAGAAAAAACATTTGCTTACCTTTAGGATAGATGCTGGTGAGCAGCTGCGCAATCTCAGTAACTCGTTGAGGGGCCTAGAAGACGGAGCCTTCATAAGCTATTAAATGCTAGTAGGTCACAGCCAACATACCTTGGGGTGTGAACGCACCGAGTTCGTTGCCGTGCTTGCATTGATGGTTTATTCTATCCAGTCAGAAAGAAAACCTTAGCTTACAGTAAGATTTTTAATGCAGAAGACGTACCAAACCTACTGTTAAGCTTGCTGCTGGTATGGGAACCCTTGGAAGGGCTGATGACAAGGTCAGTTCTCACACCTTGGAGCAAACGAGTTTAAATTTACTGTATGTTCAGAGCAGAACTTAGTGAATAAAATGTCAGTAATGAAACGAGAACAGCCTTAGAACCGCATACCTATGCTCCATGCACTGTTACTCAGAATGCGCTGGTTGCCGGGCATGTATCGATGAGCTCGAGCTTGACGCGTCGATTCGAGAGCACGAGGATGGACCTACACACTGTCAAAAAGGGTGAAGACATGGAGATGAGAAAAAGAGCTCACCATCATCGACGATACGTCCAACAACGCCGTTGTGGTGGAAGTCCAAGTGAAGAATCATCGGATCAACAAACGAAGCCAAAAGGAAATGATGGTGGTCACGAGACCAAGCTCATCGAACTCGAAGAAATCAACGAGGAGGCATACAATGGCGGGAGACCCCCCGAGGACGTGCTCGACGATGAGAACATAATGGTGTGGGATGCTTGAGAAAAGGGAGGAAGAGGAGAGAAGCTGGAGAGGGAGGAAAGTGGGGATGAATGGGATGATAAGAAAGTGAGAACATACCCCGTATTTAAAGCTTTCACAGAGGCCTGAAGCACAGGGAGAACATGGGAAACCATGCCGATTGATGGAATATCGGGAATCCCCAATGCCCAAAAATTGGAAGATCCAAAGTTTAGATTGCGAAGGTAATATGAGTTACCCGTGTCGTTATGAGGGTAGTGCTCCCAATATTGCAGACGAGATGATGTCTAACCGTGTTTGAAGGAAGTGAGTCCATTCCTGCCGTCCGCCCCAAGTAGAATCGACCTGATAGAAAGATGAATATTAGACACTGAACACACAAAGACAAAGTACGCACTATTGAGGATTCCGACTTTCGAGTTGGTTGGGTGGCAGGCACAGGGTAGGTTCCTGATCACACGGTGACCCAGATCATGCAGTAGGGTCATCCTGAAACCAAACGAATATGAGAGCTTTGAAATACGGAAATTGGGGACTCGTGATGGAATGCTTCAGTTCTCATCTTTGACCAGTTAAGCTGTGAGGAAAATGTCTGAGCCTCATTGTCGTAGTTGTATCAATATAAACAGCACATGATGCTATATTTTAGGGGCTTGTAAGCTCAGATAATGACACACAAACATTAGAGAACGCACCAACTTTATACAGCGGCATAGAATCTCGATCTCAATCAGAACTACTTCCCTCCCTGAACGTCTGGAACACTATATTCAAGTACCTTAGACTGTAGCCGGCACAATGATTCATTCTAAATCGAATTCTAAGCCCTGGCGCATAGAACAAGTGAAAACTTACGCATTGACAGTGGAGCTCCTGTTTGAGTTCAGGGTTGGCACACGATGTCATGATCTGACGCGTCGTGCAGGGTCATATATAGCACTCAGAATCGTCAATAATCAATGCAAGTCGTTTCCCATCCCATGAAAGCGGCAAAAATCATGTAATCACGCGATGTTGATTGAGCAGAGTCTGAAGATAGCAGAATTACAAAACACAAGCAAAGTGAGGAGTAGATATGTGAAGAGTAGCTGAGGAACAACAAAATTGAAGAATGGGACAAAGTGGTAAGAGAGAAAACTGTGTCCGAGATTGCTCTGTGGGAGTCAACGGAAACGGCAGTTTCCTCTTTTGCTCATGCCATCATCAACGTTGAGGGTTCGAATCCTCTATGCTTAGTATTCACAGTGTTTGAGCGCTATGGATTATTGAACAACCACGAACTTGTATTGGTGTAGTATCAGACTGGTATCTAATTCCTCGGTAGAGATGGGGGTGCCTTGGCGACCGAGGTTCGGGCTCAGATTGTGAATTCATATTGACGTAGGCTCTTGGCCCTTCCTCTCTCACTCAATCTAACCAGGTTTTGTGCAGCAGAAACTGTGTACTATCAGGAACCCACTCGTCGATTCCAATAATTTTTATGTTGATTACTTATCTGGCGCCTGCGGACCTTCGACAACACTCAGGAGATCTGATACGAATCCCTGGCTGGGTTCATAGATAGAATGGTAGCGGATATTCGAGCTCTCAATGGTGACACTTTGAAGATGCTTGTCGAGGAATGGAATATTCCCGATGAAGAACATTGGCTAGTTTAGGGCTCGCGTCAGTAAACTACATAGGTACTTTCTCTTGAATACACGGAATATATGACCTTTTTTGTATAGTCAGTTTCCTTCCCATACTCTTTGGACATAATTACCATCACTTTCCCCGCTCCCTCTGATGCTGGTCCCACCGAATCGGCTGACACACATCCCGAAGGATCGAATCAACCTCTTTCCAACCTGACCCACCCTCAACCCACACTAAGGATGGAAAGATTCTATCCAGGAACCTTGCGATGAGAGCCGGCTTTTTTGCTATCGTATTCATTGACTTCAATATCTGCAGCTGATGTGAAAGCACCTCCTCTACCACCGGTATGTCAGGAAACCCGATAGGCATGGCTAGCAACACAAGTCTTGGACAACACTTGGCTAAACTGGGGAGCATAGCATATGAAGGAGGGTCTCCAGGCAACTGGGGCATTGAAATCGATTCAATGTCAGGCCATGACGGTGCGAGATGAGTTTTGATAGTCTCATCGTCCAATACCAGTTCGCCCACAAAATGGATGGATCTCAAGAGATGCAGCTCGTATAAGGGCTCAAACACCACTCTTGAAGAGGCCCAGAGTGTTCTATCGAACTGTGCTGACTGGTAGGTTATGGAGAGATTGCGAAGGGGGAAGCGCACTACCAGTTCACGGTAAAAGTCCATCATGAACTCTGAGCTGGTGCAGAATGCCTCGCTGGAGGTATCGACAAAGGTGAGCGTCTCCAGTGTACCTTGATGGAAAAGCCGGAGAATACGTGACATCTCCGATACCTTGGCAGTGATATGGAGAGATTTGAGAGAAGGGAAGCCATCCTGGACTTGACGGCTGCCGCTAGGTATGTTCGATGTAGTTTTCACGTGAAGGTGCTCAAGGTTGTCAAATGTAGAGAGGGCGATGAGGAAATCGTAGTCTACCAAGTGGGATTTGATAGTTAAAGAACGAAGATCTCTGAGACCCACGAAATTGGTGATGGAGCATAGATTGGTGAAGAGAATGGCTTGATATTGGCCATTGTCGAACTCTGGACAATAAATGTGGAGTGTTTGCAAGGCAGGTACTCGCCATTTGATGGCCCGCATACACGTTGACGACGTGGTGATGTCCGTCGAACCACGGAACGTCAACTGTATCTTGTTCAGTGGTTTTGCAGGGAGGAAGAGAAGAATGGAAGGAGAAGCCGCAAAAGATGCGTCACTTTTCAGATATTGCAATTTGGGAAATATGGGAGTTTGATACTCAGCTAGGCGGAGAAATACAGTCGAAGAGAAGCGGGCGCAACTAGTGGGATCAAATGCGATGCATCGAATACGACTTGCATACTGCCGGAAACAGACCCATGTCTTGTCAGGGATATCTTCTGGCAGTACCTACACACAATGTAGAAAATAAAATAAGAATCAGATTGGGAAGCCTAGACCAATTACAGACCTGCAGATTCCCTGAAGATGTAGGGGGGAAAATGCGTAGGATTGGCTGAAACCCATAAGCTTGGATATCTTACGAATGATGGGACAAATAGAATGCTGATGGGGTAGGAGGGGGTGCCACCGTTCCCACATGGCGAGGAATGCAGATATTTAGGAGCGTCTGATTTACCTGCTTGTATGTAAGCATGAAAAGGGCTTCAATTGTGCCCAGAATATAAGATATGGCACTTGAATCCAGTCTGCCGTCAAAGGTTTTTGAAAGCAAAGATTCAGGAATACTTAGTTTCCGCTTGAATACAGGTGCTCGTGATCGATTCCTTGTTTCTTTTCGATTTTACGGCTTCTCGAAATCTTTGGTATCGGACAGAATTCCAGTGAGTTTTATTCTTCTTTCGAAAAATTAACTATGGGTACCATAGTCAGGACGCCTTAAAATTTTGGCATCTGAAAACTCTGTCTCTGGTGCATCGGCAGATATATCAATATGCGGAAAAGCAACGATGAAACCATAGTGACGTCGACGGTATATAGGAGTAAACAGAAAGGCGACATACATGTTTATCGCTACAGAGCTATAATGGCATGAAGCAAGGCAATCCGTCACAACCCAACACAATCGCCAAGGTCCTTCGAGCTTTATGGTACCCTTCTATTTGCTGGGTAGCCCTTGTATCAGTCCGTGTGTAAAATTATGAAGTACGAAAAACCTACCATAGATTATCATAAGGTCCAGACCCTCTCCCCGCATCTTCTTAATCCTCACCGCGTCGTCATCAGCAATCTGCCAATCTACGGAAGGCGCAGAGATATAGCAGGATCGCATTGTGGATCCCCACCGTCTCTCTATTGCGTCGACCAATACGGTGTTTGCTTCCAGAGAAGGAGTAAAGTTGCTGATGGTGAACGACACCTTTTGTAGGGACGACAAAAAGTCCTTGGCTTGAAAGAAACCCTTCACGAACCCTTCCTCCATCTCTAGTGCTTCAACGGTGAGTTCTGTCAACTTGGGCATTGCTCTCAACACGTTCATGAGACCATGCAACGATGTGTCACAAACAATCTTGAACTTTCATAACATGCTCTTCAACCGGGAAAGAAGACTGCAGATGATATCTGCGCATCCCTACTCATTGGTAGCACCAATGAGATCGAGGTCACTAAGGGTGGGTAGGATAAGATGCTGAAGGATTGTTATATCGGATACCTGCAGCCTGCAGAGGGAGGGTTGGGATATGGGTTCAAGTGGGACTGTCCAGCTCTGCTGAACTTGTGTGCCAAGAGCCTCCAGTACTTGAAGGCATGGTGAAAGACGGAGAAGATGGATTACTTCAGGGAGGGTACCGTGGATGAGGAGAGCAAGGTGCGTGAGCTGGTGCCATGGAAGGCCTGCAGTCATCGCAGACCCGCCGTTGTTGATCAAGGTGAGGTTCGTCAGACGCGGGGAAGCATTAAGAGCCTCATAAGCATGGTCATGCATGGTGCTGGTCATGCTAAGAGTAAGCTTCTCGAGGGAAGGGAGGCCACCATTTGGCACTGCATCAAGAGGCGCAAAAGAGTCTGCCATCCTGAGACGGATGTCCTTCCAGCAATGAGAATGCAAAGAAAGATGTCTCCAAATATCTGCCAATGCGTCCTTGAGCTGGCTGATAGGCATATCAGCATAAACGGATATGTTGCACTGGCCTGAGAGTCAGAGAGCAGTGCCGAGCAGGGAGACGAGCATGGCCGGATCACTAAAGAGGCGAGGATTACCATGAGGGAAAAGAGTAAAGCCGGACCATAGCTCTGGAGTGGAAAGGACAATCTATCTCCACCTGCAGCAGACCTTTCCCAGTACCCACAGCCCTCGTTTAAGCCAGAATAGGGAAAAATTCCCTCCAATGCTATGGAGGAAGATCTGGATCAGTATTTCAGTGAGGAGGCGCCGTATCGGAGCAAGGATACGAGTGTAGATACTCTTGGTTTTGACGAGCTCTTTCTGAAGGGTCAAGGCCTTATCAAGCGCTGTGTGGTAACGAGCGACAGTTTTGCGAAAATCATCCTGCAGACAACAAATGTTGTTGCAGCACTCTGATAGCCACTCATCTGTTTGTGTTAGCAGAGAGGCAATTCTGGTCACATCGTCGTCTGATGGACATTGGTTGGAGTTGATGAGGTCGGCCAAGGTATTTTCCTGGCGGGATGTCTATGAGTGATACAAACGCAAGGAGTAGTACGCACCATAATCGCTTGAACATCCATATGCCTAACATGTCCGTCCACATACATGTGATGCCTTAACTCTCCCTGCTTCCGACCCATGGACCTGAGACCACCGTAAGCTTGGCCAACTGTGAAAGCAGGTTGTGTGAACACCGTGTGATCATTGTTTGGTGGACAAAAGTATGACCTACCACCGTTAACCTATAAGTAGTAGTGAGAGCTGGTGAGCAACAGATAGGTGTATCAGGCAAATGCAAAGTGCGAAGTGAGAGAAAGTGAATGAAGTGAGCATGCTAAATCAGGCAGGAGAATAAGTGAAAAAGTTCAAATAAGTGACTGAAAGTTAGCGCAAAAAGTCGCTCTCGCTTGAGTATGTCGCGGGATGCATCAATCCTCTATCATGCATCATGCATCATGCATCAGCTCACTGGGGCTTATCGATTTATCAAACGAGATTATGTGTAGTCATAGTGGCCAGGAAGAGACCTTTTGTTTGGCGTAGTAAACAACACGACTCTCCCTCTTACTGCGATGTCGCTTTGCTTAGGTTACCACCAGGGTCAGACAGCAAATACGAAGAAGAATATGCTACCCTACTTGGACATGTTGAGCTGTCTCTCGTTACTACCAGATGGTCAGTACTTCATCTGTCGTAGAACTGTCATTTACTAGTATGTTCTAGGGCCTGGATACCCCGACGCCATTTCTGCAGCTAGCTGGAGCAGTGCTCAAAGATCAAATACCTCATTTCCAGTGGCATATGGTCGACTAACTACCGGTAGGTCGGTCAATGTCTACCACAATCCGATCTTGAGTTTTCGGATTCAATTTCTACATTCCTGTATGCTTCAAATGACTACAAAGAAACCAACGTCTTCCCTTGTCCGACTCCAACGCGACAGAGGCAGGCTACGACCCTATCAATCTGCATCGAAGCCTCCGGCCCTCTCAAGTACGTGGCCTGTCCCAATGCTGAGGAACACACCGATACATTGGTTACTGCCGAATAGCTCCTTGGCTTGTCGCGGACCTCTTTGGTGGGATTATTAAACCCCAGGCCTGCGTCAACGTAATCGGGCCTGAACCCTCCTGGTCCGACAATTTTGATGGCTTTGAAGAAGGTTGGTGCTGCTGTGGTGGCACGCACGGCTTCCCGTATTCTGCAGTCAGGACCTTGGTTGGGGAGTCCTTGGTATGTGCGGAAACGCTGGGGAGACCGAAGGTTGATTCCGGTCATGGAGCATATGAAACTGTTGAAGCTAATGAGGGCGACATTTTGTGAGAGGAAACAGTTGGGCATACATGTTTCCTTTCAAATTTCTCCCCGTGTTGGGATCCAACAGCTTCTGATCATCGCTGTACCCAGCCCAGCAGACGACATTCTTGACCTCCTTCTCCAATGTAGTTGCTTTGAACTTTCCGTCGCTGTAGAAAGGTTTCCTGTTCTCGGTGCTGAACACCGCGCTGGAGATTCTGTTGTAACTTTGGAGGGCGTCTTCAGTGGACATTTTTAGCCTTCCTAGCATGATTGCGATTAGTCTAGAGAATGGTGCCAATTAATTATCATTACCGTGACTTGATTATCTGTGCTTACCCTCTGGTGCTGGTTCCGCCGATGAGATCAAAGTATTCGCAAGGCTTGGGAGTTTGAGGGAGGTTTTGGTGGATCTGGATGCACCTCATAATCTCGTCGAGGATGAAGAGTTCGGATACGCCACGGATGCCACCGCCATCTAGTGCAAAGGTCAATGGAGTAGCTGAGAAATGGCAGCGTGGAGGAGTGCTCACTGAGAGAGAGCAACTTCACAGGCTGATCTGGTGCAGAGGGCCTTGTGTTAGCCACATGGAAGAACAGAAGAACTTGGGTTGTATACAGCACAAATGCTAGTTTGATGCTTCATGTGAATCTACTTCCGGATCTTTCGCGTACTGATGACTTGTCTCCTCCCATGGCAGACCTGGCCAGAGTCGAGGCGCTTTGGGGTTGAGAGCAACGAAACAGCGAGTGCCACTCTTCTGTTTGTACTATCAGACATTGGTTGCAGTTGGCGAGATATTTTCCTTGGGATGCAGGGAGTAGTACGAGTCTGACAGTAGTGGCCAGGAAGAGGCCCATTGTTTGGCGCAGTAAACAATGCGCCCTCTCTTTCTCTCTTTCTTACCATGGTATTGCTTTGCCCAGGCTACCACCAAATCAACCTGACAACGAATACTACAAGGAGATGAGATATTCTAGGTTATCCTCACTTGGATCCATCATCCTGGGCTGTAATAGCTGTCAGTATTCCTCTGCTCGTATCAGTAGAACTGCCATTCACTCCGTCCTAGGGCTTGCATGTCCCAATGCCATTTCTGCAGCTACATCGATAGGTGAGTTCTCACTTTTACCATGCTCAAGATTCATCTAAATCTGATTATTAGCTAGGACACGTTCTATATACGTCCTCATGATGTAGCTCAACTTAGTATGCTTGTGTGCCTTTACATATCATTGAATGCCCAACAAAACCTGGATGTGTTCCCCCACCTTTCAGGCTCCCTGCATTCCGTTTTTGAGGCGTTCCTGTCTACCGTCATGCAACTCGGCCGCCGCCTCCCAGATCGTCCCCGGAAACTTCTTCCTCCTTTGTCCATTAAGTAGGCATCTGCAGAACGTGCCAAAACCGTATTTTTGACTGGGAAGGGAAGAACATCATCGTTAGTGCAGAATCTTCCTTGTTGTCATGCTTGGCTCCAAGAGATGTACAGGAGTGTTCACTGGAACGCATAGCGCTCACATTCTGGGGTATATCGAGGATTGTGAGGCACTCAAGGCTAAAGAATATATATGTTGTGGTGGTCAATGATCAGTTCGTGGCTCTTTCCCCTCCATATATGCACCAGAATTGACCTTTTGTTGACGCACAGGGCTGGGAAGGAGAAGCTCACTCCGAATGGCACCTGTGTGTATTTGTTCGACTATAGATGGGGTGTAAACACGTAGCTATACATTTTTTGGCTAGCGATCAAGGCATGCTCACTAGTTCAACAGGCCTCGAGTCGTCTTCATCGTCGATGCGACAGACTTAGCGCGCTTCGATCCAAGGTATGTCTGGCCACTTGTATCCAGCTTCTGTGCTCATGAAGATGGCGTAGCACTACGTCAACGACAACTAGGTTCTGCCTCTTGCCGTCGAGGAGATTCCAAGCGAGGTCACTGTGACGAGCGCCCTGGGCTTCATGTTCTGAAGCCGTGGGAGGAAAAAGTCTCGTGTACATCTTGAAGAGGTGCAACTGCTGTAATACCATTAGATTGAAGAATCCTATTTCAACTCCGAATATTTGAAGTAGGCCTAACCTGAGCAGCAACGCGTGTCCGTAAGCTTCACCGAAGACCGCAAAACTCGATGATCGTCCTGACTCCTCACGGCCGCAAGTCAGCTTCGGCCCTCTGTTGTAGAACTGCTGGACAACGCTGATATATGACGAGGCCTTTGCTTCCTAGAGCAGGACTCGAATTGGTCCACACATTCTTCGCATTCCAGCAACAACCGTGACCCTCTATCACATACACTCTGTCCACTAGAGATTACCACCATCGAAATAAGATCCGCTTCAAACAGTAGCGATGGACTGCCGAGTGACGGAGTTGAGGGTGGATGAGATGGGGACGACGCGTTAGATCAGGATGTGAGCATCCTTGGTACAGGATGGGGTTGTAGCAGGGAAACGAGAGGTGATGCCAGAAGAGCAAACTACCTTTCACTCCTGCCGGTGGTCTTCCCTCGCGCGGTTTGATGGATATCTACGTCGGAAAGTACAACTTGCTAA